ACACCGCGCTGCATGTGATGGCATTGCACCGTGTTCCTTAGAGTTGATTGTCTTCGAGGGTTCTGGGCCGGTCTGAAGTCACGGTTCCTTGTTCAGCTCCTTGGGATCCCCGGACAGCTCCCCATGAGGCGAGGCTGATAGAGAGCACCCCTTGGCTCTGGTTTCAACATCGCCTTCTCAGAGCAGAAACAGGACTCCCGTCTGATGCTTCCTCAAAACGATACAGCGGTAGCACGATTTGGAACGACCAGAGGCGCAGAAATGGGGCCAGCGTTGCAGCGGGAGCAGCAACATTTTGAAGAATCGAAAAGAATCGGATCGTCAAAAACACACATGAAAACCAAACTCGAGAGCGCCCTGGAGAGCGCGGATCCCCGGTCAGGGCGGGGCGGGCGACTGGGCCCCTCTCAGCGATGCCTGGGGCGATCGAGGGTCGAGACACGTCCCCCCTGGAGCCTCTCCTCGTGTCCGGCGGTTCTCGGGCCACAGCTCCCAAACCCCCCCTTGCTCCCCCTGCGCGCGCCGCCAGGATCCCGGGTCGACGTTCCCCACCCTGCGCCCAGACCTGAGCCAGTGCCCTCTCTTTGTCGTTTTTTTTTTTTCTGGAGGGGGAGGAGGAGGAGGAGAAGGAGGAGGAGGAGGAGGATGTTCTAAGTTTATTTCTCGGCCCTCCTCCAGGATCGAGGGGGGATTTCGAACGTTTTCGGATGATTATTGTACGTTTTCGGCCCTGTTCGGGCTTCTGGGGACCTCTGGGGGTCAAGATCCAGGCGGGAGCAAAACTTACGAGGAAGAGGGCAACGTCGAAGAGCATCGAGGTTCGCGGATCGAGGCTTGCTCATGTTTGGCATACGGGAAACCGCTCACTGCCACTGCCAAACCCAGCCCCAAGTTTGGGCCAAAGTTCCACCCCCTGGGCGGTCAGGGAACCGATCCTGAGAGGAAGGACCTGCCGACCTGCCGACGACGATCGTCATCGTCATCGTCATCGTCATCATCGTCATTATCGCCATCGTCGTCATCGTCGTCATCGCCATCGTCATCGTCATCATCGTCTGTCATCGTCATCATCGTCATCGTCACCGTCATCACCAACGGTCGCAGGGCGGTTTCTCTGCGTGTGGAGAGGTCGCCTTTCGGGCCCAGCGAGCCATAAGAGAACGACCCCCGGTGAAGAGCGGGTCGCTGGGTCGTCGTCGTCGTCGTCTTCGCCGACCTCGCCGTCGTCGTATGCGCCGACGTCGTCCTCGTCATCTTTGCCGTCGTAATCGTCATCGTCGTCGTCGTCGCCGACGTTGTCATCGTCGTCGTCGTCGTCGACCTCGCCGCCGTCGTCGTCATCTTTGTCGTCGTCGTCGTCGCCATCTTCGACGACGTCGTCGTCATCGACGTCGTCGCGGTATTTGCCGACGTCGTCGTCGTATTCGCAGACGTCGTCGTCGACGTCCTCGTCGTCAACGACGTCGTCGTCGTCTTCACCGACATCGTCGTCGTCGTGTTCGTCGTCGTCATCTTGTCCGACGTCGTCGTCGTCGACGACGTCGTTGCCTTCGCCGATGTCGTCGTCATCGTTGACCTTGTCGTCGTCGTCTTTGCCGTTGCCGTCCTGGTCGTCGTCGTCGGCGGCGGTGGCTTCGCCGACGTCGTCGCCGTCGTCGTCGTCTTCGCCGACGTCGTCGTCGTTGTCGCCGTCGACGTCGTCATCTTCGCCGTCGTCGTCGTCGTCTTCGCCGACGTCGTCGTCGTTGTCGCCGTCGACGTCGTCGTCGTCGACCTCGCCGTTGTCGCCGTCGTCGTTGTCTTCGCCGACGTCGTCGTCGTTGTCGACGTCGTCGTATTTGCCGTCGTCGTCGTCGACGTCGTCGTCGTCTTCGCCGACGTCGTCGTCGTCGTCGACATCGTCGTCGTCTTTGCCGTCGTCATCGTCGCCGTCGTCGTCGTCGGCCTTGCCGCCGTCGTCGTCGTCGACGTCGTCGACGTCGTCGTCTTCGCCGACGTCTTCGTCGTCTTTGCCGACGTCGTCGTCGTCTTCGCCGACGTCTTCGTCGTCGTCGTCTTCGTCGACGTCGTCATCGTCGACCTCGCCGTCGTCGTTGTCGTCGTCGTTGTCTTCGCCGACGTCGTCGTCGTCGTCAGCGACGGCGTCGTCGCCGTCGTCGTCGTCGTCGCCGACGTTCGTCTTCGCCGACGGCGTCGTCGTCGTCGCCCACGTCGTTGTCGTCTTCGCCCTCGTCGCCCTCATCGACGTCGCCCCCGGGGCTCGCGTAACGGGGGTCAGCGCTAACGGGGGTCAGGAGATCCCCTCCGGCTGACCCAGGTTTGGGAGCCACGTGGGGCCGATCGTCATTGCCCGCCCTCCGATGACACGGGTCGGGGAGCCACTGAGCGACCGGCCAGGCTGCGCGACAGGGCCTCTGCCGACCAGGGCCGACCCTGTTTGGGTTGGCCACGCGCAGGGGGGGGTAGGGGGGGAGGGGGGAAAGCTTCTCAGAAGCACCCCTGCTTCTTAGAAAGTGCGGGCCTTGTCTGTAGATGTAGGGCCGGCGCCTTCTAAGAAGCGGCCTCCTTGTAAGAAGCCTTCCCCCTCCCCCTACCCCCCCTTGTGCTCGCCGCTAATTCTGGGCTGCCCCGGACCAGCGCGTCCCCGAGGGAGCACGCGGACCGTCCGAATCGCATCGCATGCAGCGATGGGCAGGACGCTCACCAAAGGCCAGCCCTGCCTGGGGGTCCCTCCTGCGTGCGGCCGAGAGCTCCAGGGGCCGGCGGCTCGAAGAGGGTTGGGTCGTCGGGGAGTTGGCGAGACGGCAGGCTCGCGCCGCGTCGACGCGGTGGCGACCCCAGCGGAGGTGCTCAACCCAGACAATCGAGTAGGGGATCGACTACAGACCTGATTCGCCCCAACATTGCTTCTCTCGTCGAACCCATGAGAGAAGCACCTAAAATAGTCAGGAGATCTACGAAGCATTGTAGGTATGTTTCGTAGACTCGACGTGGAATCAGTTAAGGGGCAAATCGACTCTGTAGTCGATCCCCTACTCGAGACATGCTCGCATCCTGCAAAACACGACGGGTGGTTTTTGGGCATGGAAAACCGGGGGGGGGGTCACTGCCGGTTCGAACCACCCCCCCTCCCCCCTCGCCGCAACTACTCCCCCTCCTCTCCCACTCCGTATGGGGGACTGGTGGGGACAGTGGTTGGGACGGTGGTGGGGATGGTGGTTGGGAGTGGGGACAGTGGGGAGAGTGCGACCGTGGTGGGGACAGTGGTGGGAACAGTGGGGGCAATGCAACAGTGGTGGGGGCACTGGCGGGGACAGTGGAGACAGTGGCGCGGACTGTTGGGACAGTGGGACTGTTGCGGGGACGATGGGGACAGTTGGACAGTGGTGGGGACTCTGGTGGTGGGGACAGCAGTGGGACAGTGGTGGGGACAGTGGTGGTGGGGACAGTGGTGAGGACGCTGGTTAGGACGGTGGCGGGACAGTGGTACAGTGGGGAGAGTGGTGGGGACAGTGGGGAGAGTGGGATTGTGGCGGGGACAGTATGGACAGTTGGGCAGCACAGTGGGACAGCGGTGGGGACAGTGGGAACAGCGGGACAGTGGTAGGGTACAGTGGGGACAGTGGGACAGTGGTGGGGACAGTGGTGGTGACAGTGCGGAGAGTGGGATCGTGATGGGGACGGCGGTGGTGGGGACAGTGGGGACAGTGCGACAGTGGTGGGGGCACTGGTGGGGAAAGTGGGGACAGTGGTGGGAACAGTGTGGACATTGGGGACAGTGGTAGGGACAGTGGGGACAGTGGGACTGTGGTGGGGACGGCGGTGGTGGGAACAGTGGCGAGGGGACACTCGGACAGTTGTGGGGACAGTGGGACAGTGGTGGGGACGGTGGTGGTGGGGGCAGTGGTGAGGACGGTGGTGGGACAATGGGACAGTGGTACAGTGGTGAGGGTGGTGGGGACGGTGGGGACAGTGGGACAGTGGTGGGAACAATGAGACAGCTCAGTGGGACAGCGGTGGGGATATTGGGAACAGTGGGACAGTGGTGGGGACAGTGGGGACAATGGGACAGTAGTGGGGACGGTGGTGGTGGGGACAGTGGTGAGGAGACACTGGGACAGTGGTGGGGACAGTGCGACGGTGGTGGGGACGGTGGTGGTGGGGACAGTGGTGAGGACGGTGGTGGGACAATGGGACAGTGGTACAGTGGAGAGAGTGGCGGGGACAGAGTGGGACAGCGGTGGGGAAAGTGGGGGCAGTGGGACAGTGCTGGGGACAGCGGGACAGTGGTGGGGACAGTGGGGAGAGTGGATACAGTGGCAGGGACAGTGGGGACAGTGCGACGGTGGTGGGGGCATTGAAGGGGACAGTCGGGACAGTGGTAGGGACAGTGGGGACAGTGGGTCAGTGGTGGGGACGGTGGTGGTGGGGACAGTAGTGAGGGCGGTGGTGAGGACGGTGATGGGGACCCAGGAGTCTTAGCCGGCGGCGAGGGGGGGGGGCTTCGAACCGGTAGTGACCCCCCCCCTGGTTTTCTGGAGCGGGGGGGGGTGTTCGAACCAGTAGTGCCCCCCCCCTCCGGTTTTCCGGAGAAGGGGGGGGGGGAGGGGTTAGGGAAGGGGTTTGGCTGGGGGAAGGAGGGAGGGGGAAGGGGAGGGGGTTCGAGCATGGGGGGGGGTATTTTCGGAGTGTGGGGGGGGGAACCCCGGGTTCCGGAGGAAGAGGGGGGGGGGGGGGGGGAATTTCCACAGTAAAGCGGCGGTGGATCACACTCTTTCACATATATGTATGTGTGTGCGGCATGCAGTGTGTAAATATTATTGTGTACGTGTACATAGATGTGCATGCATGATTGTTGGATGAATTCATAAATTGGCACGTCTATATACATACGGTTATACATAGTTGTAAAAAATATATACATATACATGTATACATATGCATTGTGTATATATATGCGTGTGGATTCAATTCTTTTGGAAACAAAAAATCGGCCGGAGGACGCCGCCCGCTGGCAGCTCCTCTGCAAGCCCGGCGTGGCCGAGGAGATCGGGGAGGGCGGCGCGGGTCCAGAACCGAAGGAGGAGATGGCACTGTTACGGCTACCCATCTCTCGTTTTCCCCTTCTTGTCACGGGCAACGACGGGGGGGGATAGGCTCAGGGAGGTACGCATCGACCCCGAATCGCCCATTGATCGACGAATGGGGGCCTGATTGCCCCACGCCGCCCAAGGAACGTGCGGATTCGCCATCGGAGGCCTATCGCCAATGTATCGGCGATGTCTCGCCAATGCCAGGTCGATGTTTGCCCCCTGAGCCGGTACCCCCCATCGTTGCCCCTCATCTTGGGCCTCCTAGGAGGCCCTCGTCGCCGCAGACGGATTCGCTTCGAAATCTTGGTCAGCACGCACCTTGGGAGAGGTCCAGGGAGTAGGTACCTGGTAGTTTCCCCAGGGCGTCGGGTGCCATGGTCTTGTCTCGTGCTGGCGGCATCGCCTCGACCTCGGCCTCAGAGGATGGGTGCCTTCTTCGAGAAGCAACAACATGCATCAACATAGATTGTCGGAGCTCCGCGCGGCTTCCTTAGATCGACGCGTGGGCCCCCCTGGCGGCGCCTCCGGAGCCGCCCCCGGCGCGCTCCGCGCGCCAGAGAGGGGGGTCTGGCGCCGATCGCGGAGACCTGCACGGACCTTCGAAGCTTCCTATTTGCGCAGCTCTTTTCTTGCTCCGCTCGTGCCGATGGCCTCGCGTCGATCTCGGCCTCAGAGGCGCTCTCGAGCCCTCCAGGGGAGCGTCAGGAGCGGGCCCTGGCGCGAAGAGCCGCCCCCAGGGGGAGGGGGGTCGAGGTCGCAGGGGGCCCGCGGAGTGGGAGAGATCTGTCCGCCGGAAGTCTGGGGGGGGGGGCATTCCCCCCGCCTGCTCCCCTACCAGCGGTGACCATGAAGAGAATCCAGAGAGCCCAGACAGGGGCCAGAGAATGTGCGGTCGGAGGACTGGACCGCGCAGTTCGGACCCCGAGTTCTTCCCATCCTGTAGTCGCCAGAGCGTAGCCCATGCATCGGCGATACGGCGCAATCCTCCGACCTATCAACTCGGGCCCCATTTGGACGGCCTCCAGAAAAGGGGTCCTCGGAGAAAGGGGTCCTGAGGTTGTTCACCGTTTTCGGGCTCCGAAGACTCTTCTCAGGCCCTGGGATTGTCACGAAGCAGTTCAGGATCAAATCGGCCCAGGGGCAGCCTTTGGGAGCCACAGGACCCGTTTCCCACGGGACTCTTGTTCTTTCATACCAGTTGCGTGTGTCCGCTCTTGCGCCCACACGAGTAGCTTTGCGTGCAGCCTGCGTAGGTTAGACGCCAATGATTTCCTGGTCAGCCGCCCGAGCACTGCATTTCGGAGCAGTGTGCACGGTGGTGTTCATGGGGTGGGTATCTTGTACTCTGATGTGGGTCCCTGAAAGTAGAAGATGCTCGACTGCCATGTGGGCTCTACGGGGAACAACCCTGCGGGCGGTCCGTGCCAGAGTAGCATCCAAGCAGCCCTTGTTAAGAGGTGCCCCTCCATCTCGAAAGAACGGCCTGGAAGGAGTTTGTTATGTCGTCGTATGTCTCGGTAACGTCATTGCGCGCACGCCGTTGCGCGGCGCATCCTTGCGACGTCTCGCAATGTTGCGCGACGGGGGGCATTATCGTCATCGGCAGTGCCTTTAGAGAGGTCCGCGTGACTGAGGTAAAAGCCGATCGTGTGTTAGCATTGAGAGGATCATGCATCATTGCTCGCGGGCAAGGATGCGGACTCTGATGAAGTGGACAGCGTGCTCGAGGCAGCCCGCGCTTTCTCTATTCAGCACGGGAGGACTGCCGCTATGGTATGATGCCGATTGCGAGTACCCCTGCGAGTCTTGTTTGCGACCGGTCCAACTGACATACACGGCCCGCCAGATGTTCACGTTTTCCCTCAAAAAAGGCGGGCGTGTTTCCGCCGCCATGTTTGGGGAAGCAACCTAAACAAGGCTGTACAGCGCTGCTGGGTTGTAGAGCTGTCTCGCTTTACGGGTACAGACCTCTGGGGGGGGGGGGCTTGATGGAGGCTTGTAAAGCGCCTCGTAGGGGGCTTTCGGGATGTTTTTCGGGGTCTGTCGGGGGCCTTGGGGCTGTTCTACAAGGGCCGGAGATGGTATCGGATAAGGAATCATTGGATAAGGAACCCAGAGACTGAAAAGCCAGAGGAACACAGTTGAGACTTGGCCATGGCCATCAGATAAGGGGTCCTCCAGTGTCTGAAGTCTCCTGGGCACATTTCTCAACGAGCGCCCCCACCGTACTGGGGTCGTCTAGGCAGGTCTTGGGTTCTTCTGAAGCTGACTCGAGCCAGCTCGAAGCGGCACTGTGCGAGTCCTGGACAGTCCTGACGCCGCTACTTTGGGCGGCCTGGAGTTGTCTCGGGGGTCGTCTTGGAGCCTTCCCAGGATGCCTCCGTGTCTGCTTGCATGGGCGGCGCCCACGAGGACATGGCGCGAGGGGTGCAGGCTTTTGAGAAGGTTTCTCAGAAGCCGGACGGGCTTCTAAGAAGACACCCGTACGTGTTTCGAAGCCCTGCCGCCCTTTTTGAGGCCCACACTCCTCGCGCCACCCCCGTGTGGGCGCCGCCGAATTGCACCAGGAAGCTGGATACACGTGTTGCCAGATGTCTTCGCAGCGCTCGGCCCTTCGATGGCCCGCTACGCCGGGCTTCCGCCTGTGCATCCAACGCGTGGCCTCGTTTCGCTTTCCGCGGTCGTTTGGCACCGGTTTCGTTTCAAACGTTCGTGTTCAACGATGGGTTCCGTTTCGCTTGTCCGCTTTGAGCACCATTTCGTTTGAATTTTCGTTGTGGTCGGGCCTTTGGATTACAGCCACCTGTGCTCCGAGCCTCCTGGCAGGCCGGCCCACGGGGGAGGGGAGGAGGAGAAGGAGGAGGAGGAGGAGGAGGAGGAGGACCAGTGCAAACCCAATGGTCACCAACGATGTTGGAATAAGCCCTCCTTCCAAGCTCCCTCTTCATAGGCCCCTACAACGGTTCATTTCCACAAAGGGACCTGCCTCGCTGGAAGACAACCGTTGGAAGACCCTGAAGCATGCCAAAACATTGTTTTCGGGATTCCAAAGCCACGGAAAAACTTGGCTGCTGCGCGTTGACGATCCTGAATCGCACCAGAACGCCATTCCTGCGACTTCACCCTTGCGAATCATCGTAACTGTTGCGCCCTCATAATCGCGAATCCTTCCAGAACGCAATCTTTTGTATGTCAATCATGGGTATCCGTGACACTCTTGTAAATGCTTAACAAAAATGCACGCGGCGTTTTAGGCGAGAGCCACATGTTGAAAAAAAAACCTTCTTCAATCCGCGAAGCTCTTGCAAAGTTTGAAAGCGAAGGTGCGCGGCGCTAAGGCGAGAGCCACATGTTGAAAACGGCCCGCCCTCAATCCGTGAAGCTCCTGTTTGAAACCCAATGTGCGCGGCGCTAAGGCGAGAGCCACATTTTGAAAACCACCCGCCCTCAATCCGCAAAACTCTTGCAAAAGTTGAAGACAAATGCGCGCGGCGCTCAGGCGAGAGCCGCATGTTGAAAACCATCCGCCCCCAATCCGTGAAGCTCGTGCAATTTTCGAAAACGCATGTGCACGGCGCTAAAACGAGAGCCACATTTTGAAAACCATTCGCCCTCCATCTGCGAAATTGCTGCCAATGTTCAAGCTTCAGGGTCATAAATGGTGAGGAAGTCTCAGGCGAAACGCCCGGCCCGCCCTAAAAACTGGCCTCGTGGTGCGACAGGGAGAAATTATCGATAAGGAAAAGGAATGGAGGAGGAGGAGGAGGAGGAGGAGGAGGAGGATGAGGAGGAGGAGGAGGAGGAGGAAGAGGAGGAGGAGGAGGAGGAGGGGCGCGAAGATGGGCAGCGTTGCGCGGCCTGGGCCGCAGAGCGCGCCCCCCCCCTCTCCCGGGGAGCGGCGCGATGGTGAACTCGGCATCGCTCGGACGGTGTCATTTCTTCCTGCGAGTATCATCGAGGAGCATCCTGGATCATCTGGCCTAAAAAGGCGCGCACGAAACCGACCACTGCACGGGGAGTGGACGTCCGAGCGAGGGCAAGTGGGAGGATGAACGCGCAGCGCGCGAATCGCAATCAGGTGGCCTCGAAGAACTGACTGCATAAACACCACACTTTTGGAGCTCCGCGCGGAGTTCCCAAAGTGTATGCGCATGCCGTTCTTCTATCCTCTATGACCTGCATTAAATTATCTGTGCGGCAGGCTGGGCTGGCTTATATATATACACACACACCAGGCTAGTGGCAGGTTTCGCGGAGTCTTCGTGCAGCGTGTCAGAATTCCAGAGGCCGTTGCAAGGTCTCATCGTTGATGTTGCGCAGGCAGGCGCCGACGATTGGGAGCACTTTCGGCCCGCGTGTGCCGTGGCAGCGGCACCCGCAGAGAAAGCACTGCTAATCTGATTTGCCGCTTGAAACAAAAAACAAAGAAGAGCAAACCACGAGCTCCGCGCGAATTTCTTGGATCTGCGCTAGGCCCCCCTGGCGGCGCTGCTGGCGCCACCCCACACGCGCTCCGCACGCCAGGGAGGGGGCCCAGCGCAGATCCAAGAAATCTGCGCGGAACTCCCAAAATGTTCTGTCTATGCAGATGTTTGTTCCTTCAGTTTATATACAATAGGCTGCCAGCAGAAATAGTGGAGTCTTTCGTTCAGCGTGACAGAACTTCAGAGGGCATTGCAAGCTCCCATCGCTGATGCCATGCAAGCAGGCGCCGACAACTGGGAGCACATGTTCGGCCCGCGTGTGCGCGGATTTTTTGGATCGGTGCTGGGCTCCCCTGGCGGCGCTTACGGCGCCGCCCCTGGCGCGCTCCGCGCGCCAAGGAGGGGGGTCCAGCACCGATCTGAGCAGTCCGCGCGGAGCTCCGAAATTTCACCTTTATGCAGTTGTGTCTTCCTTTGTTTTGGGTGCACTGCCTCTCGGGGATCTGCCGGGGGCCCTTCGGGGCCCCTGGCAGGTCCTTGGTTCGGGCCTGAGGCAGATCCAATTGGGGAATTTCTCAGGGGGCCGTCCGAGTGCGTCCCAGGCTGCCTTGAAGATTGAGACCTGGATCGGGCTGTCTGAAGGACGTACCAGACGGTTTCGGGTTGCTCTCTTCAGTCTTTCGGCGGTCCCGTCAGGGAGTTTCCTTAAACTCCTGGAGGTGTCCCAAGGGCGGCGTGGGGGCCGTGTGTCTGGACCACGGCGGGTTGTAAGGCACCAGCGCCCCAGAAACCAGGACACCGCAAACCAGGACCTTCAGTGTGATACCGCAAAACAATATCTAAAGAAACCCAACTTGAAAAATGAAGCGCCTCACAGTAAACATCAACAAAAATTATCATAAGAAGCACCATGGACACACACACACACATCTGGAAACGCCAAAAACAACGTTGGTGAACATATTACAGCAACACACATCAGTTTTTATTTGTTTTTATTTTTTGAGACGAAACAGCTAGCAACAACAACACGAATAGTTTTAAGACTGTTCGCCCCTATCTGATCACGTGCCAATCAGTACGTATATCCCAAACCCTCTGTACCCGCCCTCGCTGTCTTCGATCGAACCCCCCCATTGGGGGCATATCTTCCTTACCTGCCACGAGCATTTAGCGCAGCCCCTAAAGCAAGGGAAGAGAGGACGGGTGGAAGGGGGAAGGGAGACGAATGGAACACGAGAGACATTAGCAGGAAAGAAACAAGGAGCTGAAAACAAGTGGTAGAACCAGACGGGCAGATCGGGTGGGCAGACCCATAGCGGGCAGGTCGGGAATGTGGGCCCAGGCGACCAGTTCGAGCAGGCGGGTTGCTGAAGCGTGGGTCCTGCATGGGACGCGAGGAAAGCTCTAGCGATAGCGTGATTCCCAAGTAAATCGTGAGAAGAGCCAAAGCGAGAGCGTGATTCCTGAGTTCCGAGAGCGCATGGTTTGAATAAATTGCGAGGAAGTCCCGCGCGAGAGCGCGATGCGCACATGAATTGCGATGAAGTCCCCAGCGAGATCGCGATGTAGGAATAAACTGTGAGGAATTATGAGGCGGGAGCCGCTGTTGTTGTAAACTGGGGGCCGGGGGCCCAGTTTGAGCCCCGTGATTTTCCTGATATACAAGGGTGCGAACTTTGGGGGAAGCAGTTCATTTGAAAAAGCACCATGGTCACCAGAGGGGGGATCAACAATAATTGTTCTTCAGTAGTGAGAGCTCAATAACAACAACAACAACAACAACAACAACAGCAACAGCAACAGCAACAACAACAACAACAACAGCAACAACCACATTACCGATTCCAACAACAGCAACAGCAGTAGCAACCACAACCACAACAACAACAACCACATCCACAATTTCAATAAGATTAAGTATGTTCGCTCTTTTCTTCTCGCGGGCCATTCAACACGTATATCCCAAACCATCGATGCCCGCCCTCTTCGTCTTCGATCGTACCCCACTGGGGGTATATATTTCTCTTGCCTGCGCCGTGTATTTCGTGAAGCCCCTAAGGCAGGGGAAGAGAGGACGGATGGTAGGAAGGGACAAGGGGGAAGGAGGAGGACGGAGCACGAGAGATAGTAGCAGGAGGGGGGTTCGGAGCAGCAGAAACGTGGCAGAATCAGACGGGCAGATCGGGCGGGTAGACCTTAACGGGCAGGTCGGGAATGCGGGCCCAGGCGGCCAGGTCGAGCAGGCGGGTTGCTGAAGCGTGCGTCTTGCCTGATCGCGAGGAACTTTCGTGCGATAGCACG